CTTTGTATCCTTATAAGACAGGATTGTACCTGCAACTGAAGCAACCAGGAACGCTTTATAATTAACAGTACTTCAACTGCGCAATTCCCACAGCACCCCAGAAAGACCAGTTTGATACATATTATACAAACTATATAAAGAGACCATTATTTAGGCTCATGTGTTCTGTGTGATGTTAATAATTTCCCTAAAAATATTTGTATTTTCAAACAAAACCAATAAGATATATATATTTTAATAACAGATGTCACTTTTCCCAAAATTTTGCAATTATGGATTACAGGTAGCCTGAACTCCTGTCCACTAGGTCCATCCATGCATTTTAAAACAAGTTACAATTTAATTTTTTAAAAATGATATGTAAATGAGCCCCTATGTAGAAAGAGAAAGTGTACGCTAGAAATTATTTGGTGCTTAGCGCGGGAGGTTAATAATACAAGTAGAAATACTAGAAAAGTATCTTAAAACCTGTGTAACTGTTTTACAAAATTTTGACCCTACTGTAATGTTTTTTTTAAAGGGGACGAGAGATGCACATTTTGTTTGTAAATATTTTCATTGCAAAAATTTGATTTCTAAAAATGTGTTTCTGTCTCAGATGCCCAGTATCTCCACATCTATTTGTTCTACCTCCTTAAATGCCTCTCAGACATACATCGGCCCTGTACTGATTTCTATTAACCCTTTCAAGCAGCTGCCGTATTTTACAGATCGAGAAATTGAGATGTATCAGGGAGCGGTGAGTTAAAAGGATTTATTTGTGGTTATTATTATTCTTGTCCTGTTAAAACTCAATATTTTTATGGCAGACTTTAGTGGAACATACTAAACATGTTGCACAAGTTGCCGTAAAGAGTACTGCGTCCCTGGACTTCCTTTATCTTCTACTTGTGATAATGGAGTGGAGATGTGGTCACCTCTGCACCTTTTCTTTGAGTTTCGAAGATCTATGTTTACAGTGCAGTGCAGTTCTCCTTCTTAATTGTATATAAAGGAACACTGTAATCACTGCAACTGCTTAATCTCATTGAAGTTGTTATAGTGTCTGGAGTCCCCTAGAGCCTTCCTTCCTTCTAGAGGACTCCAAGCACTATAACAATTCACTGAGAAGATAGTTATAGTACCTACAATGTCCTTTTAAAGGATCACTCCAGACCCTTATGCAACGTTAACTTGCTGAATAGCTTTATGTGTGAATTTTTTTCCTCCTTTTTTAAATTTTTTTTTTTTAATTTTGAAAAAAGTTCAGATTTCAATAGAATTTGACACTTTCATAAATTAACATGGTTACACCCCCTCAAGCAGACATGTAATGTTACTTCCTGGTTTCGTTAGCTCAATGCAGCTGACCTCAAGAGGCCGCAATTGCCCAGATCACATGACTTACAAAGACTACTCATTGAGCTGTATTGGGAAGTCTGTGATTGGTCAGCCACAGACAGTCTGGGCGGGGTTAGAAGGGGAGGGCTGGCAAAGGCAGCAGACAAGAGATCTGCAGGTTTGGCAAGCTGGTTTTAAAAATGAAAGACGAAAAAATACATAATTAAATGCATGCAAGTTTTTATTTGGAGTATATCTACTAAACAGTGATTTTTATTTATTTCCTTTTTGAGTATCCCTTTAAGTGAAGAGTTTTTTTATTTATTTTTTAACATTTTGTTTTAATTGGCAGGATATGGGAATATTGATTATGATATTGTGCAACCCTGTTGGGTTCTCGTCAAAGTAAAAGTTCAAGTGCTGTTGATTTTGTATAGATCTGATCAAGGATTATTACATATGGGGTGCATGGTTCTTTTTAGAATCTTGGGGTCCTTAGTAGTATCTGGGAATTCGAGGATATTGTTATATCACATGAATGGGCAGAGAGGATGATGGGAACTGGATGGCAGTGAGTCACTCTACATGCTGATCTCTGTCCTGAGGCCGCACCTGATGTGTAGACACACGCAGGAGATACGAGCCTCTCTGACAAGTCACAGCTATGTGTCCCAACATTTCTAAGGTGAAAGGGGAGTCGGCAACTCAGTGCTGCCACGTAGTGGTCAACTTGCAAACCTGCAACAATTTTCCCTGTTACTGAATTGACCGTTTATGAAAGGAACACTCCTCTGTTGAAATGCTGAAATACAATTATGGTAATAAAAATCACTATGTAGTAATATACCCCTAATGATAACCTGTATGCATTTAATCAAATTGTTTCATAAGAGGTATATTAAAAATCAGCTTGAAAAAGCTGTAGAAAGGGGAGGCCATTTTTCCTACCTCCCAACATTTCAAATGTACAAAGAGGGGACTTATTTTTTGGGGAGGGGGTGTGTGGCCAGGAGCGGGGATGTTCTGGGAAATTTTAGGTGATTTAATAACAATTTCTGCAACTAAATGTAATTTAGAACACAAACAAGGAATCTTGTACACAAATTTATTTCAAAACACATTTATTGAAGTTATTGAAATTATTATTGCTGTGAAGCTATGTTATACACTCAGACACACTAACAATACAGACCTTGTAGAAAAGAGGGAGAATAGGATATAAAATGGGAACGGTGGGTTTTTGGCCCAAAAATAGGGACTGTCCCTCCTAAATAGGTCACTTTGGTGGTATGCTTTTCCCCCAGCCCAGACTTGCTGTGACTGTCCAATCAGACTTTCCAATGCTGCTCAATGAGAAGTCTTTGCCCTGGGCCATCCCCTGACTCTCCACTGAGCTAACCAAACCAGGACGGAACAAGACCGCCTGTCTGACTTATGGGGTGTATCAAAAAGTGCCAATTTCTATTAAAATCTGTACTTTATGTAAAAAGGAAACGAAGGGCTATCTTCAAATATAAAGCCCGAAGCAAGCTAAAGTGCTTTCAGTGTTTGGAGCGTCCCTTTAAATTCTAGGTCACAGATCTGTATCTGCTCAATATGCATTTCCTTACATAGTACAGCAAGGTCATACGTAAAGCCCAGAATATGCAGATACTACCTGTAGTCACCTACACATACACTACACATGCCCTCTCACTCAGTGCATCCCCCTGGCCATACAACACACAGAAGCCTCTCTTTGGATTGTCTGTAAAGAGTACATCGTCTTGTTTCCGTAATGATATACAGATACCTCGTCTCTGTCTCCGCAGGCTCAGTATGAAAACCCACCGCATATCTACGCTTTGGCTGACAACATGTACCGCAATATGCTTATAGATGGGGAGAACCAATGTGTGATTATCAGGTAAGACACTGCATGTTATCAGAGGTTCTCTAATATACCCCCCATACACACTGCACGTTATCAGAGGTTCTGTAATATCCCCCCCATACACACTGCACGTTATCAGGGGTTCTGTAATATCCCCCCATACACACTGCACGATATCGGAGGTTTTGTAATATCCCCCCATACACACTGCACGTTATCAGAGGTTTTGTAATATCCCCCCATACACACTGCACGTTATCAGAGGTTCTGTAATATCCCCCCCATACACACTGCACGTTATCAGGGGTTCTGTAATATCCCCCCATACACACTGCACGTTATCAGGGGTTCTGTAATATCCCCCCATACACACTGCACGTTAGCAGAGGTTCTGTAATATCCCCCCATACACACTGCACGTTATCAGAGGTTCTGTAATATCCCCCCCATACACACTGCACGTTATCAGGGGTTCTGTAATATCCCCCCATACACACTGCACGTTATCAGAGGTTTTGTAATATCCCCCCATACACACTGCACGTTCAGAGGTTCTTTAATATCCCCCCATACACACTGCACGTTATCAGAGGTTCTGTAATATCCCCCCATACACACTGCACGTTATCAGAGGTTCTGTAATATCCCCCCCATACACACTGCACGTTAGCAGAGGTTCTGTAATATCCCCCCATACACACTGCACGTTAGCAGAGGTTCTGTAATATCCCCCCATACACACTGCACGTTAGCAGAGGTTCTGTAATATCCCCCCATACACACTGCACGTTAGCAGAGGTTCTGTAATATCCCCCCATACACACTGCACGGTATCAGAGGTTCTGTAATATCCCCCCATACATACTGCACGGTATCAGAGGTTCTGTAATATCCCCCCATACACACTGCACGGTATCAGAGGTTCTGTAATATCCCCCCATACACACTGCACGGTATCAGAGGTTCTGTAATATCCCCCCATACACACTGCACGTTATCAGAGGTTCTGTAATATCTCCCCATACACTCTGCACGTTAGCAGAGGTTCTGTAATATCTCCCCATACACACTACACGTTATCAGAGGTTCTGTAATATCTTACCATACACACTGCACGTTATCAGAGGTTCTGTAATTCCCCCCCATACACACTGCACGTTATCAGAGGTTCTGTAATATCCCCCCATACACACTGAATGTTAGCAGAGGTTCTGTAATATCCCCCCATACACACTGCACGGTATCAGAGGTTCTGTAATATCCCCCCATACACACTGCACGGTATCAGAGGTTCTGTAATATCCCCCCATACACACTGCACGGTATCAGAGGTTCTGTAATATCCCCCCATACACACTGCACGTTATCAGAGCTTCTGTAATATCCTCCCATACACACTGCACGTTATCAGAGGTTCTGTAATATCCCCCCATACACACTGAATGTTAGCAGAGGTTCTGTAATATCCCCCCATACACACTGCACGTTATCAGAGGTTCTGTAATATCTCCCCATACACTCTGCACGTTAGCAGAGGTTCTGTAATATCCCCCCATACACACTGCACGGTATCAGAGGTTCTGTAATATCCCCCCATACACACTGCACGTTATCAGAGCTTCTGTAATATCCTCCCATACACACTGCACGTTATCAGAGATTCTGTAATATCCCCCCATACACACTGCATGTTATCAGAGGTTCTGTAATATCCCCCCATACACACTGCACGTTAGCAGAGGTTCTGTAATATCCAGGGGTCAAGTCCTGGGGAAAAAAGTGTGGGAACTCTCCCAAAAAAACCCCCAAAACACGTGTATGTGTGTGTGTGTGTGTGTGTGTATATATATATATATATATATATATATATATATATGTGTATATATATATATATATATACACACGCGTGCACACACACACTCACACAGTGGTGTATTTTAATTTTATGCTGCCCTAGACTATAGAGCACCCCCCTAATCTAAATTTACCACTCCTTCATGTCAAGGGTGCACCGCTTCCTGATTAAGAACCCACCCCTTCCTCTTTAGATTCCACCTTTTCCTGCTCCTTTTAAAGAAATACTATAATGCCAGGAAAACAAAGTTGTTTTCCTGGCACTATAATTCCATATAGTGCCCCCCTCCTCTCATGTCCTCCCCTCCCCCACTCGACACTGAAGGGGTTAACATCCTATGGGTATTTAGCAGATGCTGGATGTCCTCATGCACAGGGTGAGGACGCCCAGCATCAGTTAGGTGACGTTTGGTCACCTAACCACCCGAAAGTCCTCTAGTGGCTGTCTGATAGGCAGCCAGTAGACTTGGAGTTACCCCTCAGGTAATTATTGCAGTTTCTGAGAAGGTTTAAGGGGACTGGGACACTGCACCCAGACCACTTCAAGGAGCTGAAGTAGTCTGGGTGCCTATAGTGTCCCTTTAAGCACACTCTCTGACAGACACCCACACTGGCAGATACACACTATAAGTAACACACACATTCAATAACAAACACACAGACGTCACTGATTTGACACACACATTCACTGACACACACTCATTCATTGACAGAGAGACACACACTAATAGTCACACACACACTAAATGACAGACTCTCACTTATTTGACAGAAACTTACAATAACGTATGCACATACATGCAATTGCAAACATACACATGCATACACTAACAGAAGCACATACACTCACATACACACGTACAAACGCTAACAGACATAAATACACTCCTACACACACTGAGACAAACAGACATCCACACATCCAGACATCCACACATCCAGACATCCACACATCCAGACATCCACACATCCAGACATCCACACATCCAGACATCCACACATCCAGACATCCACACAGACAGACATCCACACAGACAGACATCCACACAGACAGACATCCACACAGACAGACATCCACACAGACAGACATCCACACAGACAGACATCCACACAGACAGACATCCACACAGACAGACATCCACACAGACAGACATCCACACAGACAGACATCCCCACAGACAGACATCCACACAGACAGACATCCACACAGACAGACATCCACACAGACAGACATCCACACAGACAGACATCCCCACATCCCCACATCCCCACATCCCCACATCCCCACATCCCCACATCCCCACATCCCCACAAACAGACATCCCCACATCCCCACAAACAGACATCCCCACATCCACAGACATCCACAGACATCCACAGACATCCACATATACAAATTAATAATATTATTAACTAATTAACATATCCCACCCACCCAGCATCCCTACCTTTCCCTGGGGTCCAGTGGGGCTGCAGTGAGGACGGCTCTCTCCCTGTCACACGCGGAGAGGGAGCTGTGTGCTCTCTGCTCCCTCTCGCCGCGTGGGATGTCTGCTGATGCTGGGAGCCGGGTTGATGACGTCATATTCCGGCTCCCAGCATCAGCACACATCCCGCGCGGCGAGAGGGAGCAGAGAGCACACAGCTCCCTCTCCGCGTGTGACAGGGAGAGAGACGTTCGCCGGGGGGCAATACATCAGGTGGACCCCCATGACAGGGGGAACACAGGGCATTTGGGGGCGGCATTTTTTGCCGCCACCTGAGTGCCTGCAGGGGGAACGGCGTTCCTGCTGTGAAAAAAGTGCAGGAACGCCGTTCCCACGCGTTCCTGCAGGACTCGAGCCCTGGTAATATCCCCCCATACACACTGCACGGTATCAGAGTTTCTGTAATATCCCCCCATACACACTGCACGGTATCAGAGGTTCTGTAATATACCCCCATACACACTGCACGTTATCAGAGGTTCTGTAATATCCCCCCATACACACTGCACGTTATCAGAGGTTCTGTAATATCCCCCCATACACACTGCACGTTATCAGAGGTTCTGTAATATCCCCCCCATACACACTACACGTTATCAGAGGTTCTGTAATATACCCCCATACACACTGCACGTTAGCAGAGGTTTTGTAATATACCCCCATACACACTGCACGTTAGCAGAGATTCTGTAATATCCCCCCATACACACTTTGGAGTCTTTTAGAGTGCAAGCCCTATTTTTATTTTTTTTTAAAGTAACATTTCTGTATGTTGAGGAATTTGCCTTGTCTTATGTATGGGCGCAGTAGATACTTAGTTGTGATGTGAGTTTGTGTGTCGGGACTATATGTATTGTGTATTTTGAATGTGTGTAGGAAGTCTGTGGTGTAAATACAGGGAGTGTGCAGTGAGTGTGCGTTGGTGATTGTGGTGTTGTGTGCATTGAAGAGTTTGCTTATAGGGCTTTGTGTGTGGTGGAAGTTTTGTGGGGGGTTGTGTATGTGTGGGCTGTGTGTATTTTTTTTTTTTGTACATTGTCAATAGGGTTGTTTTGAAGTGGTTGTGTTTGGGGAGGGATCTTTTCACTTTAAATTGAAAATAATTTTTTTTTTGCCCTCTTTTAACTACCTTTTGGCTACGAGGGGGGCAGGAGTCTTCATTAATCTCTGGTGGTCCAGTATTGTGTATCCAGTATGGATATTGTGGTCTCCATCTTCCACTGATGTAGACTGTATCTAGCTTTCAATCTGGTCTGGCACATTACCAGTGAGCCAGAGCGTTGTCAAAGTAACCCACGCCAATGCTTGGAATCTCTGGGAATTGGCAAATTGTGTATGTCCGTCCCTGTGGTGTCTGCACCTGCTGGAGGTGCAGACCACATGCTCCATTGTGCTCAAGTGCTGTGGCACTCTGGGCCAGCTGGGAAGATCCTCTGAAACTCTCATCTGGCCCATTTTGGTCTTCACATGCCCATACCTTTGGTATGACATGATACCACACAGCAAGAACTACTCCAAGAATGTGAAAGCCACGGCCGGCTGTAACTAAATTTTAATATAGAAAATTTTGTATATTAATATTATTATTATTATTATTATTATTTTTATATGATGATGATAAATCACCAACATATTCCACAGAGTGGTACAATTTTGAGGATGTAGACCCAAAAAAAATGCAACCAGAGGAATAGAGGACTCTGCCCATGAGCTTATCATTTACACCACTCTTTGTTTTTAATGCCATAAGAGCTTACAATCTAGAGGAGAAAAGATAAAATGTTGCAATGATTACAGTGCGATTAGACATTACTTATTCAGCATAAAATCACAATAGCTCCTCTTATGTTCTGATATAAAACTTCCTGAAATTCCATAAAATACAGTTGTATAGTACCATTTTATGGGTTGTGGAAGGATGGTGCATAGCGCATGGTGTGTGTACACAGTGTAAAGGGATAAGATTGCACTCTGTAATGCTGATATGTTTCTTGCAGTGGTGAAAGTGGAGCAGGAAAAACAGTAGCTGCTAAATATATTATGGGATACGTCTCAAAGGTGTCTGGTGGAGGCCCAAAGGTTCAGGTATGAAATACTATACTAAGAAACAGAGGAACTGACCTAAACTGGGTCTTATACTGGAGAAACTGACCTAAACTGGGTCTTATACTGGGGAACTGACCTAAACTGGGTCTTATACTGGAGAAACTGACCTAAACTGGGTCTTATACTGGGGAACTGACCTAAACTGGGTCTTATACTGGGGAAACTGACCTAAACTGGGTCTTATACTGGGGAACTGACCTAAACTGGGTTCTTATACTGGGGAACTGACCTAAACTGGGTCTTATACTGGGGGAACTGACCTAAACTGGATTCTTATACTGGGGAACTGACCTAAACTGGGTCTTATACTGGGGAACTGACCTAAACTGGGTCTTATACTGGGGAACTGACCTAAACTGGGTCTTATACTGGGGGAACTGACCTAAACTGGGTCTTATACTGGGGAACTGACCTAAACTGGGTTCTTATACTGGGGAACTGACCTAAACTGGGTCTTATACTGGGGAACTGACCTAAACTGGGTTCTTATACTGGAGGAACTGACCTAAACTGGGTCTTATACTGGGGAACTGACCTAAACTGGGTCTTATACTGGGGGAACTGACCTAAACTGGGTTCTTATACTGGGGAACTTACCTAAACTGGGTTCTTATACTGGGGAACTGACCTAAACTGGGTTCTTATACTGGGGAACTGACCTAAACTGGGTTCTTATACTGGGGAACTGACCTAAACTGGGTTCTTATACTGGAGGAACTGACCTAAACAGGGTCTTATACTGGGGAACTGACCTAAACTGGGTTCTTATACTGGGGGAACTGACCTAAACTGGGTTCTTATACTGGGGAACTGACCTAAACTGGGTTCTTATACTGGGGAACTGACCTAAACTGGGTTCTTACACTGGGGAACTGACCTAAACTGGGTTCTTATACTGGAGGAACTGACCTAAACTGGGTTCTTACACTGGGGAACTGACCTAAACTGGGTTCTTATACTGGAGGAACTGACCTAAACTGGGTTCTTATACTGGGGAACTGACCTAAACTGGGTTCTTATACTGGAGGAACTGACCTAAACTGGGTTCTTATACTGGGGGAACTGACCTAAACTGGGTTCTTAGACTGGGGAACTGACCTAAAATGGGTTCTTATACTGGAGGAACTGACCTAAACTGGGTTCTTATACTGGAGGAACTGACCTAAACTGGGTTCTTATACTGGGGAACTGACCTAAATTGGGTTCTTATACTGGAGGAACTGACCTAAACTGGGTTCTTATACTGGGGAACTGACCTAAACTGGGTTTTTATACTGGAGGAACTGACCTAAACTGGGTTCTTATACTGGAGGAACTGACCTAAACTGGGTTCTTATACTGGGGAACTGACCTAAATTGGGTTCATATACTGGAGGAACTGACCTAAACTGTGTTCTTATACTGGAGGAACTGACCTAAACTTGGTTCTTATACTGGGAAACTGACCTAAACTGGGTTCATATACTGGGGGAACTGACGTTAACTTG